CATCCTTGGCGTGCATTTTAGATTCAACCATAACAAGGGCCAGGTGTGGTGGTACCACCCCCATAATCCCAGCACTTGAGAGGCTGAGATGGGAGGATCATTGTGAGTTTGAGGCCGGCCTGGGCTACACCAGGAGTTCAAGGCCAGCCTGAACTATGTAGTGAGACCCTGTCTCAAATATCATACAAACAGAGAAACAAAGCAAAACAAACCGAAAACTATAACAAGATGCAAGGCACATGCATGAGAAGTGCAATACATTGCTGATGTAGCAGAAAAAGCATCCTCCCTCCCCCGTGGATATACTTCAGTTACTTAGTTACGTAGGCAATAGTTCTGTTTCAGTTTTGTTTGCTCCTGTCTCTTAGAAACAGCTGGACACTGGGATGTATAGCTGGTCCCTATGGTGCACACTGTGTAAACCAATCCTCAAGCCACTCTGCCTCTGTACTTCCTGCTTTGGTATCCAAAATAAACCCTAGACCATCACAGATTGGGGCCTGATACTCTGGGAATGATCTCGATCAGTGCCCATTGATGTAAATAAACCTGCCTCCAAGTCCTGGCTGTTGTTTCGATGTTTCTACTTGCACTGAAACAACTTAAAGAAGACGTTAATAAAAGGAAAGACATTCTATTTAGGTTAGCAAATCATTTGGGGTCAATTTTGTATATGGTGGGTCCAACTTCATGTTTGGCACCTGGATACCCGCTTGTCTGAGCACCATTTGTTGGACACAGTTTTCACCACAACGGACCATGGATGTATGAGTTTATTTCTGGATTCTCTCGATTATGAAGACACAATGTTGTTAAAAGTGATCTAAAATTCAAGTCAAGCTCTTACTGTAATTCTGAAGACCCCCTTTTTTTTTTCAAAACGCCAATCCTCAAGTTCACCTGGAATTATAAGGAGTTATGAACAACCAAAACAATTTTGAAAAAGAACATAGCTGTGGGACATATACTTTCTGATTTCAAAGCTTACTATAAACCATCAGGAATCAAAACACCATGATACTGCTAAAAGCACACATGCACCAACAGAGGAGGATGACAATCTGTGGATGCTGTGGGGATATCAGAGCCTCACCTCGGTGCCCTGTTTGCCCTCTCTGCTCACCCCGCAGAGGGCGAGGCTTGGCAGAGGGGGACGCAGCTCGTTATGTGTAAACACAGAAGGAAGCACCCGGCCCTGTCCTCTGAGAAGCCCCTGCAACCACTGCTCTCCTGTGGACCTTGAGTGACTCCAGCAGGACAGCATCCTGGCCTCACCACTGAGGCGCCAGACAGGAACTGGAGGAGAGAGGGAGATAAAGACAAAGATAGTGTCTCACAGCAGTCAGCAGAAACGTGGTGTAAATATGTACAGCGCAGCGCTCCTGGCTGCAAAGGCGAGAAAAGGCAGACAGGACAAAGACGGCGAGAACATGAAGACGCCTCCATGGGCAAGAAGACGAGGAGGTGCCGGGGCTGAAGGCGTCCTTCCTGAGAGCGGAGTCTTCTGACGCTGCCTCTCCTCCACCCGCTTCCAATCTCGTAACTTTTAGAGCAAAATAGGGATTCCCAGACACCACAGGCTGTGCTTCTTCTGTTTGCTCTTTGCTGTGCTCAGCGCCCTGTTCCGTGTGGGCTCTGAATAACGATCTCGTCGTTGGGAGGGCCTCGCCACTCACCGGGCCCGGCCCGCGTCCCTTCACCTCCCTTCGCCTTGGTGTGCCCTGAAGAGGCTCCCAGGCAGTGCCCGCCTCCACCTGCACCCAGAGCACTACCTTCCCTTTTGTCCTCTCCCAGTCACACTAGTAGGCCGGCCCCCAGCAGCCCCACGGATGTCAACGTTAACCACAGTAGGAGTCAATCGACATAAGACACGTGCCTTTGTTCAGTCATGGTGGCACACAGCTGTAATGCCAGCAGCATCTGGGAGACTGAGGTAGCAGAATTGGGAATTTGAGCACAGCCTGGATAATGCCTGACTAGGCAAGACCAGGTTGTGATCTATATACTTAAAAATAGGGCTGGAGGTAGAGTTCGGCACCAAGGCGCTGGGTGGGATCCCTAGTGCCACCCAAAATGTCCCCAAGAGAGTAGAGGTGGAGGACATACAGCATGAACTGGAAATTAGCCAGGCGGGTGTGCTGGACAGTCCCTTCCGACACGAAGGGACAGAAAAGACGTGGCAGCCTTGCTCAGAAGCAGAAGCTGCTATCGCCAAGCCCAGACTTGGCTCCAGGAGAGTAGCACAGGAATACAGGAATGATCGATCTTGTGAAATCTCTTGATGAAATTCATCACAATCCATGATAGCCAAGGATGTAGCAGCCACCCAACAGATACAATGAGGCCCTATGAAATCAGATATTCATGTGTGTTTAAGACCCTTATTTGTGACGGAGGCAAGCCCTAAACAGCCCTCCAGCTTCAAGTGCTTTGAGTGGACTTGGCAACCCACTAAATCTGGAGGACCCATGCCTGTGCAACATGCCGTGTCCCCCCACCCCATCTTCACTGTGGATGACACCTCTGATGGAAACTGCCCAGTGCGTTACAAACTCCCCTAGGGTAAAAGGTGTCTTCCACCATCTTCCTCTGTTTTCTGGGAAAACAAGCCTTTGTAGCTCAGTGCATAGCTGCAAGGTTGAGTATTCCCGGAGAAAGAAACAAAAACAAGACCCACAAAGCTTGCTATTTAGTAACAAATTTTTCCAGATTTACAGAAACTGGGACATCTGGTGACCTTCAGAGAACAGCACCTCGCGCACATCAGCCAAGCGGCCCCCAACAAATTGGTAACTATCTTGGGGCCCGGCTGTCTGCTATCCCTGCCCAGCATCCCTCTGCAAGCCTGGTTCCTGAAAATCCCAAGCAAGGTGGCATTTCTGTGTCTTTCTCTGTTTGCTTTTAGGAGTGAAGTTCCACCTTCCACCTGCCAGCTGCTGCAAGGAAGGTCTTTCTTAGCCTGTGACTGTGTCTCGCAAGCGCCTGGCTTCACTGGGTGGCAGAAAGAGACCTTTCTTGGGCATGTGATGAGACTGGCAGCAGAACCTAAGCTCAAAGCGCTGAGCACCAGCCCTGAGGATCCTTCCCCTAGCAACTGTCTTTATGATTGCATCCTGCTGTCACTGGCAAATGAACCAAATTTCCTGTGATAGGGAAAGGAGTTTGCCTCCCCCTTCTCCTGTCTGACATGAGACTGCACATGACACATGACAGATCTGTCCCCTGTCATCCACTGACACCAAATCACTCTCCTCTGCTTGTGGGGTTTCCTCCCCTGTCCTCTCCCCCAGGGTCCACAACTTTCCTGACTGTGCTGCATGCGGCTCAATTCCTCAGGGAGGGCAAGCAGGTCCCTGGGCCTAACTTCCCTGGAAGGACAGTGTGCCAGCGTCACCAAGATGACAGCTTCGACTTCCCTAAACACAGCTTTGCCCAGTATTGGAGACTGAACCCATGGCTTTCCCTTGAGCTAAACGCCTACTCCTGTCACATATTTTAATTTGAGGCAGAATCTCACTAAATGTGACTTTTTTTTCTTTGTTCCTTTTGGTTCTTGAGACAGAGTTTTGGTTTGCAGTTCAAGGTATCCTGGAACTCACCTTGTCGTCCAAGCTTGCTTTGAACTCATGGTGATCCTCCTGTATTAGCCTCCTGAGTGCTGGGATGACAGGAATGCACCCCATGCCTGGCCTGACATTCTTAACAGGAAAATATGAGTTATGTCATAAATGATATTGAGGCTCCAGGAATCTTTGAGAGAGTGACTCACAGCATTTGTCACACGAAAGTAAATTTACATTAGAAGAAAATTTTACAGTATTATCATACGCTGTCAGTAATATTTTTAACGATTTTATACTGGGTAGTGTTCTCCATAGCCCATAAATTCCATAATGAAGAAATGTATTAAATGCACTTAAAACGTAAGATCACCAGAATCACTCTAACAAATGTAAAAAGCAAATTACATTTACAATCACATTTGGCTGGTACTGCATGAAGAAGGGTTGTCTCATGCATCTGCCTGACAGTAAGCATCATAAACACTTTGAAGAAACACAACCTGACACAAAGGCTACCACAACCTGACAGAAGGGAGCAACATTTCTTCAAGGACATTCATCCAGCAGCTGTCTCTATAACCTAGTCCTCCCCATTTTACCGTGAAACATTCTGCTGGATTCAGCCTCCTCAGCTTGCTCAGAGTTCATTACTGTAAGCATGCTCCCATTCCAAGGTCATGCTCTCCCCCAAATAAACACCATGATACCTTTAAGAATCTGTTGTTCTGATTGCTAAAATCATTTGTAAAATTCTCCAGAGGTGAGGCATAGGAACCAAGAGCAGTGAGCAGCAGTTCTCGGGGAAAAGGACCTCCTAGGTAACAGGTGACTGTGTTCTACAGAGGATGACCTGGACCCTCCTCTAAGCTCAACTCCCCAGTACCCTGGAGAGAGACACCTCTTATCATGAGCCTCCCATCCAGCCTCAGCCAAGGGAGGTACAAATAGTGAGGAGGGGGCTTCCGCTTCCTAAGCTGCCCTCCCACCAAGGGCATCTTCCTGAATGGGGCAGGAAGCTTTGGGCAACATCCCTGGGGTCAGGGACCATGCCACAATGTCGTCAGCCCCCTGGAGTGCATGGCCCCAGTGCAGGGTGTCTTTGAGGAGAGCACTGGCCATTGGCACTGGCCAGGATGCTCACAATGCTCCTGGAGCGTGTAGCTCCTGCCTTGCTTTGAGGCCGGCAGGAAGAGTGGGCATGGAAGCCAGCTCCCCTCCCAGCAGCATGGCATGCTCGCCCCTCTGACCTCAGGTCCATGGGCTGAGAATGCTCCAGTCCCGTGTGCTACTTATGGCCACCAGCTGTTACCTTTACTAGCTCCTCCTCTACCTCCATCCCTAAGTGTGTGTCCCCCAGGGGAAGCCGCCCAAGACCTCAGAGGACAAAAGCCAGAAACCAAGGAGAGGCGTTAGCTGAAACAAACTCAGGAGCGGAAAGGTTGCTCAGCTTTATTTTTTTCAGTGCCACACGCTCAATGTGGTATGGGCTTCAGCCCCCTTTTGCCAGAAGAGAAGAGGCCGGAAACAAGGGCTTCAAGCGCTGCAGGATCCGCAAGAGCAGGGCAAGTTCCTCCAGGAACTGGGTGAACACTATCTGGAGGTGGCCACGGTCCTGGGCGACCCATCTCCTGCGAGACAAGGGACAATCGCTCCGGGTCAGGACTCGGAGCCTGGTCAGCACCCCCAAATTCAGCTTCCTCCATACTCAGGGACCCCGACATTCTGCACTGCCCACACTCAGCACCTCCTGCACTCAGAGAGACCGCAAACTCATCCCCCCCCCCACCGCCATCTGCGCCCACCGTGCCCCGCGGCCTCACACAGTCAGGACGCTGCGGTCCCTGGTGAGCACCCGGTGAAGGTCAGGGCTCTCCCCGAAATCAGCCAGGTACCTTAGGCTGACCTCAGCCTCCAGGGAGGACCAGAAAGGCACCCTGACCTTGCTGTGGTGAGAGGTTAAGGCCTGATGCGCTACTGTCCACTCCCGGCCCGCCAGGTCCTCTGTCCCCTCCTGTCCAGTTCCGATCTGTCCGGTCCAGTCCAGGCCCGGGAGCTCTCAGGCTGTGCTCACCCACGTGGCTCCCCTCCCTCGCCCCCTTCGCCCGGGCTGTGCCTGTCCACGCGGCCCCTCCGCCCGGGACCCCATCCCCTCTCCTGTCCCCGCGTCCACCGTGGGTCTTGCGCGTCTCTGGCTCCGCTCCCCACGCCTCCCCGTCCCCCAACCAAGGCCCCGTCCTGAAGGATACAATTCATGTAGACCGGTCCCTGTCCTGCTGACCAAGAGCACAATGTCCCCAAAGGGCCACGGGCCATGGGGTATCTGGACGATCCGCAAAATGGTTGCAGCGTAGGCTCCCTCGTCCCCGGAGACACCTGCGCCACCCTGGTCACTCCTGTGGCCGTCTGCTCCGCCCTCAGCACCGCCAGAGGACTGCATGGCTGCCGGACCTTTTTCCTCAGACGCTGCCTGGATTATTTATACCGGATCAAGTAGGCCTCTGTGAAGCTCCGCCCCTTTCCCACCCACAATGCACCTGGCGATGCCTATAGCGCCTGCGCAAGGTGGACCTCGTGGCCCTCGTGCATGCGGGCTGTTTTCCCGCCAAATTGGCCTTCAGACCTGAACTGTTCTTTGGTTGCCAGGCAACGGGATTTCCTCACACAGCCCCGCCCAGAGAGGAGGAGCCAGGGCTGAAGGCTCCCTCCCGAGGGCTGAGTCTTCTGACCCTGCCTCTCCTCCACCCCCTTCCAATCTTGCAACCTTTACAGTAAAATGAGGATTCCCAGACACTGCAGGCTGTGCTTCTTCTGTTTGCTCTTTGCTGTGCTCAGCGCCCTGTTCTGTGTTGGCTCCACGTAACAATCTTGTTGTTGGCAGGACCTCGGCACTCACGGGGCCCCGGTCCGGGTCCTGTCACCTCCCCGCACCTTAGTGTCCCCTGAAAAGAAATAACACAGAACAGAGCCAATCAAGACTATTAATAGAGTGAAACTGGTACAGGACCCTAGAGCAGGATAGCGGGATCACAGTAACAGGTACCGGAGCACATCTTGTTATCTTCACGGCAGTTCTCCATTCAATCAGGTAGAGCCAAATCAGACCAAAACCAGAACACTATAGAACCATTCACCACAGAACCTTGACTGGAGCAGAACAGTGAATCGAAACAAAGCCCTGGGAGACGAGCGACCTATGGTGGCCCCTGGACGCATCCGCAGCAGGACAGCTGCGCCTTCCACCCAGAGAAGATGCGTGGCAGAGGACAGCCGTGGAGGGAGCCCAGCTGCTGTGGGCTGGACGCCTGTGACCTAGCAAAACGCTGGATGGGGAGGGGAAGGGCCTCAGGGCCAGCAGGTCAGCGCCCAGAGAGGAAGGGACGGAATCGAGCGTGCACCAGCTCACTACCCTATGCAAGGAAGCAATGAAATTGGCTGGAGCTCTAGGGAAGCGGCCTAGAGCTTGGACTGCCAGCCTGAGAACTAGGGTCCTGGCAGGCGAGGTGCTACAGGCCCCTGGTCCCAACACCCAGGAGGCTGAGGCAGGAGGATCCCCCCAGACAGCCAGGACCACGCAGTGAGTTCCAGGCCAGCCTACACTAAGAGGCCAGAGAGATACTGCCTCAAAAGACAAAGAAAGGAACAAACACGAAACCTTTGGGCTTTGGGGGCTTTCACACTGACCCAGGGGCAGGACTTGAGGGTGTCCTTCTGCTGCCCTGCACCCCTTCGGGGCCTTTGGCCATGAGGTTTTCCAGTTTCATTGACTGCAGCCCCTTGGGCCACGTAGCTTGGCTCCCAGCCCTGGCCTGCTCTCCCTCCTCTGCAGCAGGCCCAGCTGCCTCTGCCTCCCTGGCCCCTCGGGTTCCCTTCACCACCAGAGTGTTCTGCTGCCCTCCGCAGGTCTCAGTCTTGGTCTGCCTCTGTCTCTATCTCTCTCAGTTTTTCTCTGTCTCTCTTTTTCTATTTCTATCTCAGTCCCTCTTTCTCTCTGTCTCTGTCTCTTTCTGTTTCTGTCTTTCTCTCTTTCTCTCCCTCTGTGTCTCTCTCTATCTCTGTCTCTCTGTCTCTGTCAGTTTTCCTCTTTTTCTCTCTCTGTCCCTGTCTGGGTTGCTCTCTCTCTCTGTCCTCCCTCTCCCACCCCACCTCCTCTGAGACAAGGTCTCCCCAAGTTTCTAATTTGTCCCAACTGGGCCCTAAATTGTGACTCTCCTCAGCCTGCAGTGTCAGGATTATATGTATGACCCACCCTGCCCATTTAGAGTATTCATTTGTTTCAGTGTTTAGCAGAATGCGTGTAACAAATGCATAGCCTGAGACACTAGAGTAGGAAAGTTTGGCTTCCTGGCCATCTTGCAGATGATTAGTTGCAGTAGCCCTTTTGTATATTTAGTTCGGAGTTTCGAAATACACAAGTGCGTTGTCTGACCGTGAAGGCAGTTTTGCTTCTTCCTTTCTCTTTCCCATCAGTGGTTTTCTTGTTTCTGTTTTTCTCTTGAGACAGAGTCTCACTGCCTAGCCCAGGCTGGCCTTGAGCTCCTGGCCATCCTCCTGCCTCAGCCTCTGAGTGCTGGGACTGCAGGAACGTACCACCAAGGCCCGCCTTAGCTTTTCTTGATTGATTTTCCTCATAATAGGTTGGATTTTCCTGCTTGAGTCTTGCGTTCAGGGTTTTCTGAGTGGTACTGAGTGGGTGGCAGTGCGGGATTATCGTAATTGCGGCTTTCCCATGTCTGGCAAGGCTGAGTCACCATGGGAGCTGTGTATGGCCCTGCCAGTCAGAGTGCTATGCAACCCTGCTGGGTTCTTTTGTTCGTTTATTTAGTCTTTCTTTTTCTTGCACAGCCTTGTGTGGTGGGCTGACTTTCGATCTTTTTTAGGCTGGCCTTGAGCTCACTCCATAGGCCAGGCTGGCCTCAAACTGGAGACGATCCTCCTGCTTCAGGCTCCCAAGCTCTGGGATGACAGGCCCTACCACGGCACCTGGTGTCCTTTTCCCATTGCCAAAGCTCTATTTTCATCATTGTACCCCCTTGACTCTTTTTTTCCCATCCTCTTTCCCTGCTCTCCCTCCCACGCCCTGGTGTCTTGTTCCTCCATCCACTTGGAGAAGAGCTCTCCCTACCTCCTATTTGTCTATCTTCCATTTTGCTCTCTCTGTCTCTGTCTCTCTTGCTTGGGCTCGTGCTGCTGCTGGTGCTCCCAGTCCCCCTGTGCCCGCCAGGTCTACAGGCTCCCCTGCCAGTTTAGACCGGAAAATGTGCTGGAAAGCGGGGTGGAACAGAGAGAGCAGGTGCCCAGGTCACGTCCCCTCGAGCCTTCCTCCTGGCCTCCCTGCTGCTCTCCGCCCTTCTCAGCTCCCAGGTGTCCGGGCAGGCGTGCTCCACACCCAGGCCGGGACCTTCCGCGAACACGCACCAGGTGACGTGCACTTTGTGTGACAAAAGAATATTAGATTCACAATGCAAGCAGCACACACTCCCTGAGTGAACGAGTGGGTGTGGTGTGCACGCCTCCAATCTCAGCACTCTGGGAGGCAGAGGCAGGCAGGCACGGTCTCAGGCTGAAACACAAAAATACAGTGAAACATAAATACATAACTGCATAAATAACTTTAACTGGGCTGGTGAGGTAGGTCAGTGTGAAGGCTCTGGGTTAAATTCCCAGTACCAAAGGGAAGTATCCAAAATCCAAAGTAAAATAATCCACTGGCAAACTGCCTTTTGGAAGACCTGCTCCTGACCCTGGCAATGAGGCCTCAGCCTGGCTTCTACTCTCAGACAGCACAAAAAAACAGAACCATCCCTGGAGCGGCTCATACTCACAGGAGAGAAGAGATTGGGCAGGGATGATCTTACCCCCAAACCCCTAATCCAAGAATGAAAAGGACGGAAGGCAAGAATGGCGGGGGGAGGGGGGATCCACACCAGAGAGCCTTCCAGAAAGGGGCGTGGCTTGCCAGGTGACTGTTGGGATTTAACCCAGAGGCCTGACCCTTAGTTATTTCTCCACTAGCCTGCCCATCCCTCCAATCTGTCCCTTATTTCCTCAGTATGCAAACAGAGTGTTTGCACTGTACCCTTATGAACTGTATATGGAGCCCTCTTTGTTGTTTTCTTTGGTGGGGGAGTTGTTTTTGTTTTTGCCTTTTGGTTTGTTTAGTTTTTGGAGCAAGGGTCTCTCTGTGTAGCCCAGGCAGGCCTCGAGTTCCAGGCAATCCTTCTCCCTCAGCCTCCTTCATGCTGGGCTCACAGGTATGCGCCGTCACCCCTGATCCTATGTAAAAGAAGATGTTTTGTATTGCTGGGCTTACAGGTATGCACCATCTAGCCCGATCCTTTTTAAAGGAAGACTCTTTGTATTGCATCTTTTTAATTACAAGGATCCAAAAAGTTATTGAAAACTCGAAAGATTAAAAGGAGGGGAGACAGCTTGACAAGATTGTTAGGCAAAAGGAGGGAACAGAGATAGGAGCTCAGCAGGCAGGGCAGGGTCATTTGGAGCAAACCTGAGAGGGACTCTGGCGTGAGGCCCAGAGTGGCCTCTGTCATACAGGCCGTGAGGTCTTCTAGTGGGCTGGGAGCATAAGAAATGCTGCGAAGGGAAAAGCTGAGCGAAAAGGAGCCGCGTTGTCTGCTAGAGACAAGGCTTGAGAAAGGCAGGGTGTGGGGAGCAGGGAAGCAAGCAAGCAAACAAAAAGTGAGAGAGCTCAACGTGAAACTCTGCCCCCGAACACCAAAACAGTGTACTAAAAATTAAATGCTAACTTGTTGCAAATGAGATAAAAGCATTTTAAAATTAATAAGCAGTTAAATGAAAAATAAGTCCTTTCACAGAACTGTGATGAATCCTTATTACTAACTTCTTACAAAAATGAAAAGTTAAATTACTTTAAAATAATCCACACTGGCTGTGTGTGGTGGTGCACCCCTGTGATGCTAGCACTTGGGAGGGGGAGGCCGGAGGACTGCTTGGAGTGTGAGGCCAGCCTCGGCAACCTAGTGAGTTCACCTCCAACCTGAATTACATAGTGAGACCCTGTCTCCAAAAAACCAAAAAGCAAAACATCCATCGAGTATTGAAGAAACAGACGAGCTTGGAAAGTGTATCGATTTTCTTTGTCTGCTTTCTTTTACTTTATTGTCTTTATTTTTTGTCTGTTTTTAGGGGGAGGGTTGGGTACCAGGAATCAAACTCAAAGCCGGGCACTTACCAGGCAGGTGATCCTGCTGCTGAGCTAAATTCCCGTCCCATAATTTTTGTCTTTTTGAGACAGAGTTTCACTGTGCAGTTCAGGCTGGCCTTGAACTCACTTTATAACCTAGGCTGGCCTTGAACTGGCAGCAATCCTCCTGCCTTGGCCTCCCGAGCGTTGGAGTTACAGGTGTCAGCCACCATGCAGAGCCTCCTTCCTCTCCTTTAAAAGATGCTTGGAAAAGCAAGAAACAGGCTGTCTTTAAAACCAATGAGTAGGGCCAGGGATATAGCTCAGCGGCACAGTGCCTACCTGGCAAGTAC